CCACAGTCCGTCAGGATTAAAGGTGTCGAAGGCTTTTGTCATATCCACGAAGGTAGAGTACAGGTGGGTCCGCATTTCCCGGAAATTCTCCTGAAGTTGGCGGGTGGCAAAGATCATGTCCGTGGTCCCACGATGACGGAGGAAGCCGCACTGACTTTCCGGCGGAAAACCTTGTTCCAGGTGATTATTCAGGCGGTCGAGAAGGATGCGAGCGAATATTTTCCCGGCGATGTACAGCAAGGAGATGCCTAGGTGGTTGTTGTAGAGCTGATGGTTTCCTTTCCGTTTGTAGAGGTGAACAATTGTGGTGTCCTCGAAACCCTACGGGACTTCTCATTGACGCCACATCTGGAAGAACACTGTCAGATGATCAATGAGTTGGGGGGCACCGTGCTCGTAGATCTCAGGAGGGATCGCGTCCGATCCGGGTGCTTTCCCACTGGAGAACTGCTGCGCGGTCCTGATGGCTTCGTGGAGAGCGGGTGGTAGGTCGAGGTCAGCGTTGGTCTCCACTTGAAACAGACAGGCGATGACGGCGTCGGGGATTGTGGAGGGGCGGTTGAGGACGCCCCTGTAGAATTTCTATCTTCCCCAAAAGTAGGGTATTGAAGTCGGCGGTGAGAAGAGGTGCACTATCTTTGGTTGGCGGACCGTAGACAGCCTTGATCGCAGAAAAAAAGTTCTTCCATTCCTTGCGGTCCGGGTACCGTTGGATCCCTTCGGCTTTGCGAGTCGTCCAGGCGTCCTGCATCTCACGCAGCCGCTGTTGCACAAGGTGGCGGCTACGGTAGAAGGCTGCTTCGTTGTCGTCGATGTAGAGGTCGAAGCAGGCTTTGTGCAGGCGGTTCTTCTCGGCGAGTAAGTTGCTGGTGGGTCGTTGTCATCAAACCAGTCCTGACGACGTGCGCGACCGAGGACGGCCAGGGTTGTCGCCTGGACTGTATCCCGCAGTTGACATAATCGGTTCTCAACGGAGGCGTTCTCGTCAGCGGCGGCGGCGGCGACATCAGTGACTGGTAGGTTGTCTAGCCGTTGAGCTAACTCGTTGCTGAAATGAAGATAGTTATCAGGCAAGGGTCAAAAACAGTATTCAGCTTACCTGGCGGGCGCTTACCTTGGGGTCTCCTGCGAGGCTGTAGGCGAATCCGTATTTTGGGGGTGACGAGGCAATGGTCGGTCCGCCCGTCGGCACCTGGGATTGCCTTTGTCACACGCACGTCCTGCGGGTCTCGCCTCCGAACGAGGACATAGTCCAGCAGGTGCCACTGACGCGACCGAGGTGGTCTTCTCCCACAACGGGAGGCGGGAAAACGTGTTGGTCAGGGTAGGCCGGTGTTCTACGCAGGCTCGTAGGAGGAACAAACCATTGTCATTGGAGCCGTTGGACCACGGGGACGTAGCACTCTTCTCCAAACAGCATGGTCTGTGCCGACGGGGGCGTTGAAGTCCCCTAGGACAGTCAGCTTATCCGTTTTCGACACAAACGCCAGGAGGGCGTGCAGGTCCTCGTAGAATTTGTCCTTTTCGGCGTCGGGGCTGGACATCGCGGGAGCATAGACACTGACGATAACTACAAGTTTACCTCCCCGAAGAGGAAGGCAGAGACTAATCAGGCGATCGTTGGTACCCTGCGGCGGACAGGGCAGTCGTTCCACGATGTCATTCCGAATGGCAAGGCGATGCCCGCGTCCCGTCGCTCTGCCTTGGGCGACCGCTCCATAAGAAGGCGTAGCCGCCATCCAACTCGTCTAGTTAACCTTGTTCGGAGAATCGGGTCTCGGTGAGGTTTACGATGTCCACCTTGTAGCGCGCCAGTTCACGAGCCACTACCGCCGTCGTCCGTTTCGGTAGGTTGCTCCTCGGACTGTCTAAATGGGAACGAAACTTTCAGGCTGCCACGGTGGGTAGAATCACCCTGCCAGTCAGGCGAGTGGAGCGGCGGGGAGGAGGAGGAAGAGAGAGAGTGTGTTGTTGTTTTTTCTTTGTTTTTTTCGACCGTGTGATTTGCGTCTGAGGCCACAGTCAGACTGCAGACTGTGTGAATCCCCAGCATTTGTTTGGGGCATCTTTTTTAGCCCTTTCCCCCTCGCGGGAGTGATCAGTGCCATTCCTAAACAGCGCTGCTCAGGCGTGTCAGGCTCTGCCGAACTCCACTATTGGCCACGTCTTTGTTTAGCGGAAGAACGACCCGAGTTAACCTAGGATAGCCTACGGCATCGTCGTAAGCTTGTGGCATTCTGCGGTGTATCAGACGGAACTTCGTCTCGACGAAGACGATAAGAAGATCCGTCAGGCCAGCGAATTTGGCATTACCGTGCGCGGAGATGCGTACACGGATACCCTCACCTGGTTTGGCCCGCCGGTCGGAACGGTTCCAGGGGTGTGGTGGATAGGCAGAGCCTAGCTTCGGTTAGCCAGATGTGAGAGTTGGGTACCAGCAAATGGACGCTAGGCGTACTCTACACCTGCAAGTGAGCGACCTACTACATCCATCACGTGGACCCATCGCTGGGCACTTCTTCGCCCCACGAGAGGACATACTACCTTAACACAAGCAGTCTCAGCAAATCCGAAACATTGGAGTCTATCATGTGACCAGAACCAGCATTTGTGCGAGATTCGCGTTTGTTGCTAGGGCTACGCTTAATTTGGACACGTGTCACTTGCCGCATATACACACCGAAGCACAGAATTTCTGCTGCAGTCGAGGGCTTCAGAATGGTAAGTATCGATATATAAAGTCGGATCTTTCCTATCACTCCTTCTACTGCTCTCCGTTCATATTGACACTGAAAATGCCAAATGAAACTTAAGTTAGAGAATGACGCTAATGCACCTCAAAAAGGTTATTTGACAATCAAACCCTACATTTTTGCATATAATTTTTTCCGGGAACGAAACTAAGGCTTCCAACTATGGGTTATGATAAGTAGGTTTTCTGCAGGCTGAAGCGTGATAAGATTTGCTTATGTATCCAGAACTGTATTTTTCGCAACTACATTCATTTCAAGATGACCTGAGTTTCCCAAGAAATTTCAGTAGCGGTGTAAACACTTCTCAAACTTTCGGCCACAAGTATGTGTTATTAGGGACGCAGATAAAACAACTCATCGAGCGACATTTCGACCAACGATGTAGTCCTAATGATTTAATGTAAGGGCGTCACCGTTTAAACTAAGTTGTTCAATAAACTTTCTCCTGAGCGAAATTGAAAGTAGGAAAAATGGCTTTGATGGCGAACTGAAACTGAAACCTAGTTTTTAGGAATGTGAAATGCTTTAACTATGACTGCACTGCCTGGTACAGGAAACGTCAAGCCTATACTCAAAGGTAAGTAAGATAATTGCGGATGGATGGCGAGCAGCCTAGAAAAACGCATGTCGAGGTATTTTCCGATAGTATTTAACGTGAGTGCTAGCATGAGAAATACAAGCAGACCGCGTTCAACTGGCCTTTCTTGCCATAAAATGTTGCTTAGCAGTCAATCAACAACCAGAATACCCAGAGACATGGAAATGATTCAAAAAATATAGTGAAACACTACAGAAGAAGAAAACTAGCTGTAATAGTCGAAATAGTTGTCGAAGTCCCTGATTAAATATTTCAATTTATATTTGATTTAAAAATGGCACCAGAGTAGGGGAAAATGTTGCCTGGTAACCCAGTTCCGCACAAAATTCGGATTCTTTTAGAGCGACAGTGAAGAGTCTTCCATGCCCCATCCATCCGATGCAGTCAGTGCATCCGTGCCTGAGAGACGACCTGATTCAAATCGCCTAGCGGGTAAGAGAAAAATAAGGCTTATTTTCAGCGAAACACATGCTCAAATAGTCAAGATATTTAAAAGTACACGGACACGAAAATTCAACAATATTATCTTCGTCTTACCTTGGAAGAGACATCACAAGCTATCGGGAGCCAATTTGGGATTTCAGAAATTCTCGGGCGATTTTAAATCACAACCGGATAAAATACGGAAAACTGCTTGCTTGTTGCCCTCTCCCTCAGTTTCCGATCACAATTATTATTTCTAAACCTTATTACCACCGAAAGATAAAGCTGATCCATTAGGTGCTTCACAAATTACGTCAATTGTTATATATTCTTTCAAATAAAAGTGAAGAATATTGGAAAGAAAATCACAGTCCATGCAATCGAACTTTAAAATTCAACGGAGGAAAATAAATATTCCCAATAAAGTAAATCATTTTAAATTTAATGTAAACGGGACTGATCTTCGACTTTGTCTGAGCTCAACATACCATTAAACAAACAATTGTTTTCTGTAACCGACTTCGCAAAAAAAGTCAGGGACCGCAAGTGGGCTTTAACACCTCAGACGTCAATGAACTGAAGAAGTCTAACTTTTTCAAACACATGAATATATTACAAATATTAATCAGATTGCAAACATCTGAATCTCGCGCGGCCATAAAATATTGTGACAAAATGGAAGCTAATCATTAAGTGTTTCTGCAGTCGCATAGAACATTTCAATGAGTGGAATTCACACCGCCCGTTTTGACTGCCAAACACCCGTACACTTTTGTTTCCCGACCAGCATTTCAGGTACATTATCTCCTAGTTGGCGTCGTAAAAGGATATGGATTAAGTTAACATAAATGAACTCAGCATCATTTTTCATTTACTGTTAATTGGGGCCAGATAGTTATTGAGGAAATTGGCAGTTTATAGAGATGGACATCAAAGGCCGGGAGATGACAGGGCTTAATCAACTCCCCTCACACATGATTTATTCATCTTGTTCGTTGAGCACAATGAAATACAACTAGCCTTTCCTTAACTTACTACAAATCCATTTTGGACAGTTAGTTAGTTAACAAGCGAAAAAGGGTTATCGCTTAACTTTCAGGAAATGCTCATGTAAAAGGTAACGGAAGGTGAAGGACCCCGAACATCTGTTGCATATAAAAAACTGCCTGCTATATTTGTTTAAATGGGCTGTAGGTTGTTCATTACTGTTTCGCACATGGAAGTTGCGTTCAGTTGCGTCTCTCCCCTTTTGTTTGTTGGTCGTCGTTGAGCTACCATATAGCACACATTTTCCGTGTGGATTCTAGTAACTTGTTAGCTTATTTGGTCTTTTCAACCCGTGGCAGGCTTCACGCCTCAGTGTAGCATTATGTGCACCCAAGAGCATGTTTCACAGTATTTTCAAGTTAACTTCAACAAAATACTTCTCTCGGACAGATCGTCAGTATACGGCCTCCTATTCCACCTGCCAATCCTCAAGCGGGTGTGCCACACAATAAGTCGAAAGGTAGATGCCTTCAAAGGAGGATTCTGCCTTTAAGAACAGCGTCGTCCCCGGCACAGCCCTTTGTGAAACACGATATAGGCTAGAGTTTAATCTGGTCCTTCGTAAATCGTCTTGTTCTAGCAGTCTACCTGGTCACAGGAATAGAAAATTACTATTACACCAACACTGTCGCGACGCTCGGAGATTTTTGTGGATCATCTGAGCCAGCAGGTTCCAAACCTGAATGAAGTTATTTCGGCAGGAGATTATGCTGGCAAACGGTCTTTAGTCGCAAACTGTCTCTGGAAGTGTGGATAGCTCAAAGCGGACGGAGTTACTTTGTTTCCGAGCGTACAAAACAGGAATAAAGTTTAATTACCTTATCGAAAAGACACTCTCGTTTGCAAATTTGCTTCCTACTAACAGAGGTCTGCCATGCACGTCTATCAAAAGGCGAAAGCCGTAATGAAGCCGAAGGCTGCTTTGGTTTAGTTGTTAATGACGATCGACGGTGGAGGAAAACTCAGTGTCAGATGCCGAAGTGTTGGCGGTCTAAAAAACTTGTCCGGGTGGCCGTTTTGCACGATCTTAATTGATTGATAAGATTTTGCAAGAAGTAAGACAGCCTGCATCGCAAGCTATATTTCTGCTTAAACTAAAGCTGTAAATTTCTGACAGAAAACCTCGTAAAGTAGCGTTATGTTGACCTTTGTTTCGACACTATGATAAAATACCAATTGTTTTGTTTCTACAGTTAAGAACAAAAGTCTAACTTTCTGACTCTTCCAGGCTACAGAAGCCTTTTCGACAGTCTAAGCAGGAGAAAGACAAATACTGTTCCAATCAGCACGCTCAAGAATGCCCTACAAATGGCAGCACAGGCGCCAACTGAAATGGAGCTGAAAGAAATTAAGAAAACATACGCGGACACGACACTGGAGGATCCAGGTTTGCTTGATAAGCTGTGGACAGGAAACTGTTGAAGATATAGATAGCTAAGAGTGTGTCAGCAGTGTGGCGTTTTCTTGAAGGTGTCCAAAATAGTTGCAGAATGGCAAGATTTTACTTGTGGCTTATGGCTGGCCCATTATAAAAAGTGTTAGAGCAGTTCAGTTTCCAGTGTTCATGGTCCCTTCTTCAGCAGGACCAATGTCTTTTACTACTATGATTTCATCGATCGTTGACAAATTCTTCTTTTTGCAAAGCAGAAAAATTTTATATTTTATATTTTGTCCTTTTTAATTCTAAATTGTTAACGGCTAATAGTTGGCTTATACTTCTTGAATATTTTTTTAAAAACCCCCTTAGGACAGACGATACTTTCCAAGCCACTGTGATAATTGATTCCACGTATAATTTCATTGCCTTTTGATACGACAACCCCTTAGTTACTTACCGACACGTTAGCAAAAATAAATATGTTTCATCGGATGGTATCAGAATACTCATAAAGATGATAGAAATCAAAAAGCAAACATA